TTCTAGAAATTTCCAAAAAATAAAATAGTAAAACTTGAATTTGCCACACACTGGCAATTATTTGCATAGAATTTACATTGTATTTATAACTATTTACATAGCAGTTATATTGTATTAGGTATTATAAATAATCTAGAGAAGATCCAAAGTGTACATGAGGATGTGTATAGGTTATACTGAAATACTAAGTCATTTTATATAAGGGACTTGAGTATTCATGGATTTTTGGTATCCTCGGGGGTCCTGGAACCAATGCCCCATGGATACCAAGGGGCAACTATATATGTAAAGCACTTACAACAGTACCTGGCACATAGTAAACGAGACATGTGTTTACTTCATTGTTATTAAATTACCATTTTACACTGTGTATTATTTCTTTCAAGAATTATTTTGATGATTGCATTCAGATTTAAAATTACGTTAGCGGGCTTCCCTGGTGGCGCAGTGGTTGAGAGTCCGCATGCCGACGCAGGGGACGTGGGTTCGTGCTCCGGTCCGGGAGGATCCCACGTGCCGCGGAGCGGCTGGGCCCGTGAGCCGTGGCCGCTGGGCCTGCGCGTCTGGAGCCTGTGCTCCGCAACGGGAGAGGCCACAGCAGTGAGAGGCCTGCGTACCGCTAAAGAAAAAAATAATAATAATAAATAAATAAATAAATAAAATAAAATTACGTTAACTAGAATTAAATTAACAACAATTATTTAGACTTAACTGTATTTGAGGGTCTATTGGAGGCGTTCGATGTTTTAACTATGGGTCATCCTTGCAATCTGGAACCATTTGTTCTAGTGTCCTTCAGAGACCATCCATCTAGTGCAGATCCCATGTGGTGTTGAGGAAGCCTCGTACCTTCTCTCTTTAGTTTCCTTTTCTATGAGGTGTGAGGAGCACCAGAGACTCATACAGGAGATTCATCAGACTCATCACAGGAACTGCTTGGTTATAAATTAGATTATTCATATGAAAAATTGTGGAAGTCTTCGGGAAATCGATACTCTACAAATGCCTGTGATTGCTGTTATTTATCATTCTCCAAGTGAGTCATTCCTTTTCATCAACCCGGACATGCTAACTTTAGCAGACAGTGTCAGCTTGCAGATCATCCATAACTGGTGTCCCCTTTTTTCTTCCCCCTTGAGTCATCCTCCCCAAGGCTGCCTCCATCTCCACCACCACCTTCTAGCCATCTCTCCTGTACGACATGGTCAGCCACCATTACAACAGCTCCAGCCCATCTAGGACTCTCACAGAAGCCAGATCTACCTTTTTCTCTATGAGGGAGCAGGAAAATACCTACCATTTCTTTGAAATAGTTAGCTTTGCAGCTATGGAATTGAGGGCAGTCATTTGGAATTCTGTTTGATTTTACTGTGTGCATGTTTACTCTTCTGTGATCAAACCTCTGAAGTTTACTGACAGAATGTGCAACAGAAACTTTGTTCCATCAAGATGGATTTTTTGGATAATGTTAAAATTATCCTTAATTTCTTCTTTCTCTTAGACAAGCGAACCTACATTTAATAGTGGTGATGGATGCACAAGACTGTGAATGCAATGAATGCCCCTGAATTGTATACTTAAAATGATTAGAATGGAAAATGATATATATTATTATATAAATATATATAAATCATATATTTATATTATAATATAAATCATATATATAATATATATATATATGATTTAACTGCAATAGAAAGAATGTGTTAGACTTTGGAGGTCCTATAGCCCACTGGCAAAGGCTGGTAAGGGGGAAGAAACATGTAAGCTCTTATTATCCTTTACTGGCCTGATTCTGTAGAGGATCCGTACTCTAGGTAGCTCTCCTGAGCAGCCTGTGTTTAGTGGAATCTTAAGCAATTAAGACAAGGTGTGTCGGGGACTTCCCTGGAGGTCCAGTGGTTAGGGCTGTGCACTTCCACTGCAGGGAGCACGGGTTCGATCCCTGGTTGGGTAACTAAGATCCCACAAGCTGCGCGGTGCGGTCGTAAAAAGACAAGGTTTGTCAAATTTGAGGATCTTTAAGTAGAGCTTTGGTTCTCAGCCACAAAGTCAGCTGACTGTGGTGTAAATAGGTGAGCGGGGAGAGCTTTGTATTATTGATTGTCCTTCCTTTGATTTAAATCTGATTACCAGCTGTGGAGTGATAAAGTGGATGCGCTAATCCAGAGAAGAAAGAGCTCAGTGTTTTCAGCCAGGGCTACTGGAAACCCTCATGTAGACCTTATCTGACTCCACTCCCTTTGTGCTCCTGCCTTCATTAAGCCTCTGTCCTTGAGCCATCTGCTGTCTCAGTAAAGTAAAATGCTGACTCCACTTCACCATGGGGTTAGTGTGTCACACACTAAGTGACTGGGGACTCCAGGGAAGTAGCCTAACCCATGAGGTGTGTGCCTTTTATCGAGACCCACATTCCCAGGGCCCCTTAGGTTGCACAAATAAAGCTGTTTTGATGGCCTGTTGGCTGAGTTATCTTTGAAGTTTGGCTATTGAATGATTAATTTGGCCTTAGCCTGAAAGAAAAAAGAGGGCATTAATATAACTTGTGAAGCATTAAATATACTATTTTCGAGAACGAGATCCTTTATATAAACATTTGCTACACATTTTGCATATGTTTACGTTGAACTATTAAATGTGTCAGTTAAGTTCTTAGGCATTACTTACAGTTTTAATATATCTGGGTGTGTTGAATCCCAAGCAATTTGTATCCAAGGAAGCATCTCACACTGTGAATTGCCAGCTGGGAGATCATTCATTCTTTCATTCATCATCAGTCAGTTAGCATGTGCAAGGCCCTCTGCTATGCCTTGAGTCCATATCTAAAAGCACTCTCCCTATCATTCTTACTGCCACCAGTAGGCCAGAAGCAGGGGACTTCCTTGGGAGGCCTTGGCAGCATGCCTCACCCTGAGAAAAAGCTGCTGTTCCCTAGCAAACCTAGGGTTGTTTTACTGACTTCCCAGGAATTTAGAGAACAAGGTGAGCAGGTGCTGGTATTAGGTGTATGATGTCTCCTTTCATTTTAATCATATAAATAAAGGGTTTTCCTTTTTTTTTTTTCCTGGGTTTTAAAACTGAAGTGTAGTTGATTTACAATATTGTGTTAGTTTCTGGTGTACAGCAAAGTGATTCAGTTATACATATATATTTTTTCCAGATTCTTTTCCATTATAGGTTATTACAAGATACTGAATATAGTTCCCTGTGCTATACAGTAAATTCTTATTGTTTATCTATTTTATGTATAGTAGTGTTTATCTGTTAATCTCATACTCCTAATTTATCCCTCCCCCGCCCTTTTCCCCCTTGGTAACCATGTGTTTGTTTTCCATGTCTGTGAAATCTGTTTCTGTTTTGTAAATAAATTCATTTGTATTGTTTTTTAGATTCCACATGTAAGTGATATCATACAATATTTGTCTTTCTCTGTCTGACTTATTTCATTCAGTATGATAAACTCTAGGTCCATCCATGTTGCTGCAAATGGCAATATTACATTCTTTTTTATGGCTGAGTAATATTCCATTGTATGCATATATATCACATCTTCTTTATCCATTCATCTGTTGATGGACACTTAGGTTGCTTCCATGTCTTGGCTATTGTGAATAGTGCTGCTGTTAACATTGGGGTGCATGTATCTTTTTGAATTAGAGTTTTCATCTTTCCCAGATACATACCCAGGGATTCGTGGATCGTATGATAACTCTATTTTCAGTTTTTTAAGGAACCTCCATACCGTTTTCCATAGTGGCTGCACCAATTTATATTCCCACCAACAGTGCAGGAGGGTTCCCAATAAAGGGTTTCTATTTGTTTATTTATTTATTCATTCATTTATTTATTTTAAAGGGTTTTCTTAATTTTCCACATCACCAGGCATTTTCTCCTAAACATCTCTTGAAAGCAGACAGGCTTTTATCTCCCCCGTAAGGTGGAACCTGAGATATAGATATGAACAGTCCAGCTCAAATCATGCAGCAAGTCACTGACAAAACTGGGGATCCCAGGTTCCAGGAAAGGATGGCATCTCATCCATCCCTTGAGGTCCTGACAGTCTCCTCTCCTTTGAGAAGCCTTCCTTCCCCTTCCCAGTCATTACCCGTCTCTCCACCACTTCCCTATAGAACCCAGCCTCCAGGCTCCTAGTCACACAGTTTTGTACTGTGTCTCGTTTCTGCAACTAGATTGTAGGCTTCTTGAGTCTCTCAAGCAGAGCGTAGTACATAGTTGCCTTCTATGGCAACCCTTTTGTATCTTTCTATCTTCCCTACTTCTCCTTCCAAAATGTATCTGTGCTTTTCTATGTCTCATCTAGGAAGGGAAAGTGATATTCTCAGAACACCTATGGTCTATACTACAGTTATGATTGGCTATTTTGGGACAAAGCCTCTTGTTTGTGTCTTTTTTTTAAATGTAAATTTATTTATTTATTTTATTTTTGGCTGCGTTGGGTCTTTGTTGCTGTGTGTGAGTTTTCTCTAGTTGCGGCGAGTGGGGGCTACTCTTCATTAAGGTGTGAGGGCTTCTTACTGCGGTGGCTTGTTCTGTAGTGGAGAAAAGGCTCTAGGCACGCGGGCTTCAGTAGTTGCGGGACACGGGCCCTAGAGCGCGTGCTTCAGTAGTTGCTGCGTGTGGGCTCAGTAGTTGTGGCATGTGGGCTCTAGGGTGCTCGGGTTTCAGTAGTTGTGGTGCGTGGGCTCAGTAGTTGTTGCTCACAGGCTCTAGAGTGTAGGCTCAGTAGTTGTGGCTCATGGACTTAGTTGCTCTGCGGCATGTGGGATCTTCCCGGACCAGGGATCAAACCCGTGTGCCCTGCATTGGCAGGCGGATTTTTAACCACTATGCCACCAGGGAAGTCCCTTGTTTGCGTCTTCTAGTCAAATGGAGCAAGTCTCCTTTTGTAGGGGCCTTGAAAACCCTAAGGCAAAGGTAGAGAATTAAGGTCTAGCTAGAAAACATAGTTTTCTTTTTTTAAAAATAATTATTATAGGAGTTCCCTGATGGCCTAGTGGTTAGGACTCTGGATTTTCACTGTTGTGGCCCAGGTTCAATCCCTGGTCAGGGAACATCCCGCAAGCCACGTGGCACAGCCAAGAAAAAGTTATTACAAAAAATTTGATATTTAACTAAATATGTGTATATGTACACACACACAAACATGTATGTAAGTTATGAAGGTCAAAAATAAAATACCAATGAAGCTGATATTCAACTTAATAATAAAATGTAACCAATACTATTGAAACTACCTTTGCATTTCTCCTTTATTTTATTCCTCTGCTTCCCCAAACCTACCTGAGTGAATCACTATCCTGAATTCTCTTCTTTATAATTTTAATACATAGGCATATTTCACAAAACAATGTATTATTTAGTTTTACATGTTTAGACTTTAGATAAATTATATCATATAGTGTGTTTTCTTTTGGTATCTTGATTTTTTTTTTACTTAGCATTATATTTTTCAGACAAATGTTACTGTGTGTAGCTGCAGTTCATTTATTCTTACTGCTGCATAATATTCCACTGTGTGAATATTCTGCAGTGTTTTAACCATTCTCCTGTTGATGGACACTTTGGTTGTTTTCAGTTTTTTACTAATAATCCTGCTAGAACATTCTTGTCCCTGTCTCTTGGTGCAGATGTGCAAGAGTTTCTCCAAGGTATTTGGCAGTCCTTGGTTGGATTTACCCTCAGATCTATTTCTTGCCCTTCTGCTGACCTGCTTTGTATTACAGGAGGCTGACCCCTGCAGGCTGTGTGCTTCAGGCTTTTGTGTCCACTGGGTTTGGTGAGTGGGAGGCACTGTGGGGAGATTGGAGGGACAAGGAAGAGAGAAGCCAGGTATTTCTCCCCCTTTGTCTTGAGCAGTATTTCTGGAAATGGCTGTGGCTGTCTCCTGGCTCTAGGTTCTGGACAGGCCATTGTGGTCCAGCTTCTGCCAGGTGACTGTTGTCCATGCGCTTCTAGAACATTGTATTCTCCCTTTGTCCCTTGTGACTAAGAATCATCAAACTTTTCCTATAAAGGGCCAGACAGTAAATATTTTAGGTTTACAGGCCACACAGTCTGTGTCGGAACTACTCAACTCTGTGAATGGGTGTGGCTGTGTTCTAATAAGACTTTATTTACAAAAACTGGAAAACATGTTTGTGAGACTATTTGATAATTGTCATAGAAATTCCTGAGGCTGAGTTTTATTCTTTCTGTCTTTTTTTTCTAAACATCTTTATTGGAGTATAATTGCCTTACAATGGTGTGTTAGTTTCTGCTTTATAGCAAAGTGAATCAGCTATACATATACATATATCTCCATATCTCCAACCTTTTTTTTTTTTTTTTTTCTTTTCTGGCATTAGTGTCTTCTGGAAAATGGAAACGGCCCAGTTTCTCTTACTAGTCTTCAGGTATTTATATATAGGTTAATAGTTTCATCCTGAAACAATAAAGCACCTTCCCACATTCTTTTAAAGGACAGAAATGAAAGCGTACCAGGTCACTATCGCAACCACCGCGCCACCAGGGAAGCCCTCTCCTCCCTTTTGCATCTCCCTCCCAGACTGGATGATTTTTAAGATCTGTCTTCAAGTTTGCTAACACATAGTTCATCTATTAAGCCCATCCAGTGAATTTTTCATTTCAGTTATTGTTCTTTTCAGTTCTATAATATCCATTTAGATCTTTTAAAATGTTTTGTTTTATTGCTGCGATTCCGTATATGTTCACTCAGTAAGACAATATGCTCCTTTAAGTCCTGGAACATACTTATAGCTGTTTGAAGTTGTCTGCAAAATCCAACATCTGTGCTGACTCGGGGTCACATTTTCCTGTTTTTTTTTTTTTTTTTTTGCATGTCTAATACTTTTGAACTGCATGCTGAAGATAGCTGCTGATACATTGTAGAGACCCTGGATTTTATTGTCTTCATTTGAAGAGTGGTGATTTTTGCTCTATCAGGCAGTTCAGTTACCAGCAGGTCACCTTGAATTTGTGCAGAGTTAGTTTTATGCTTTGTTAGGATAGATCTATGCAAAGCTCATATCTGTGGCAAGCCCATTCCCAGCCCCTTGACCTTGGCAGGTTTCAAACTCCAAAGCTGTGTCTCCCCCTCAGATCTTGTCAAGACTGCTGAGTGGTCTTCTTATTCCATATATATTTTAGAATCAGCTCATCAAATTCCTAGTTATTGGGGACCTATCATGTTTTCAGCTAAAGAAGAGTGGTTTAAGAATATGTGACATGGTCTTTGTTTACAATGAGCTTACATTTAAATTGCAGAGAGGACTAATATCCATGAAACAGTGAAGAGAATAAGATGGTATGTAAAGTGCAGGATTGTGTGGAATGTGTTAGACACAGAGGAGAAACCCAGAAAAGAGTTGGATAAAGAAGGTAGAAGAGATAGTGAGATTTCAGAGAGGGTGGTGGGGCTTGGAGGGTGAGATGAAGAGGAGAAGGGGCGGTGTGCTCAGAGGTGATAGAAATAGAACTTACCTGAGTGTTACTGCATCCCAGCTTACATATATTATCTCATTTGTTCCTCAAAGAACACTACTGGGTAAGACAGGTAATAGTCTTATTTTAGGGGATATAGAGGGAAAGTGATTTGCCTAAGAATCTAGTTTGTAAATGCTAGGCTGGAACTTCAGAGCAGATCTTCTGCTTCTAGTCCAGAATCCTTTCCACTGCATCCCCTCAGCTCTTCATATAAAGAATGGTTTCGAAACAAAGCCAGGACACCTGGAACTGTTGTGTTATGCACGTGACTTCTCCCTTCCCCAGAGCGTGTCAGGAATCAGGACAAGCTGCTTGATCTGTGACCCTGTGTAATGTTTTTAGCATCCAGGCCGACTCAGCCAGGGGGCCTGAAAGGGAGATTAGGGGGAGAAAATAAGAGAGGCAGGTGAGAATCACGTGACCTCAAAAAGATCTTGAGTACCTCTTAGGAAATTAAATTTAATACAGAATCCTTATATTGATACCATGGCTCTGTTATAACAGGCTTGTTGTTTTTCCTGAAAAAGAATGTCACCCAAAGGGGAAAGGGCAGGGGTGGGATGAATTGGGAGATGGGGATTGACATGTGTACACTACTGATACTATGTATAAAACAAATAACTAATGAGAACCTACTGTATAACACAGGGGACTCTACTCGGTGCTTTGTGGGGACCTAAATGGGAAGGAAATCCCAAAAAGAGGGGATATGTGTATACGTATGGCTGATCACTTTGCTGTACTGTAGAAACTAACACACCATTGAAAAGCAGCTATACTCAATAAAAATTAAAAAGAAATGAATGTCACAAAGTAATTCTATATTTTTATCAGACAAAATTCGCGGTACCATCGTTGCCTCCGGACTTGCATTTGGCACAACATGGATCTGGGCTCAGAACGCGTCCTCCTGTGCAAAACAGCTGAGGCTGTAAAGTTGATAGTCCTTTCCAGCAATTTCTCTGTCTTCATCTATTCCCAACACTTCAACTGTTGAGTCCCATCTGGTAGCCAGTGCCCTATTGATGACTCTCCCTCACTTCTAAGCAACAGCAGTGTTCAAGATTGAATGTGACTGAAGCAGGCTAGGGTAAACTGATTTGTGATAAGCTATTTTGATGTCTTTCAGGAGCATCTTCATTTTTTAAAAAATATTTACTTATTTATTTTATTTTTGGCTGTGTCGGATCTTAGTTGCCACACCTGGGATCTTTGTTGCGGCATGCGGGATCCTCCACTGCGGTGTGCGGGCTTCTCATTGGGTGCGCTGGCGTCTCTCTCGTTGTGGTGCGTGGGCTTAGTTGCCCCACGGCATGTGGGATCTTAGTTCCCCGACCAGGGATCGAACCTGTGTTCCCTGCCTTGGAAGGCGGATTCTTAATCACTGGACCCCCAGGGAAGTCCCCAGGAGCAGCTTCATTTAATTGAACCAAAGCTTCAAGTGGAAGAGCTAAAGGTGTGCAATGGTGGACTTTCCAGCCGTTATCACTGTTGGGTGGGAGGCGGACAGCAAATTAGAGAAAGAAGCTTTTGTTTTAGTCCTTCACTTTATATCAGAAGTCACATCAAATCAGCAAGCATTTATTGAGTGCCTATGAAAGGCAAATCAGCAAATTTCTACTGGATGCCTACAATATGTCTCACCGTGAGCTATATGGTTTAATCTTGAGAAATGTAGGGTCTGTTAGAGATGATGTAACTTGGGAAGTCTTAATTTGGCGTCTTTAGATATTCCATGAACTATCTGAAATTCATGCAGTATTTGATGCATGTGAGTGTATGTATACATGTATGTATATATATTGGTGTGGGGGGGAAGGGTCCAGATCATTCATCAGAAACTCAAAGGAGCCTATAGCCACCACCCTTCCCCCAAAGCTTAAAAATTACTAGCAAGAGTTCCCTCTTCTGTCTGCATGTAGACTCAGGACTATGGTAGAGGTGGGCTCATTTCCTTCTCGAATAGTGATGTCACAGTCAGGTTTTGGAATCACATCTCAAGGCTCATTCCAGCTTCGTCATTGTTGCAGGTTAGATTGGGAAACAGATTCTGGCAACTGAGATTAGCCTTCAGGAAGTTTATTTGGGAGTGCTTTTGGGATTGACACTTGTAAAAGGGAAGGGAAGAAAGCAGGATTGGGCAGAGGGAGAAGCTTTGATGCCATCTCAGAGGATGCTGTGGTTGATCCCATGGGGACCAGGGGCTTGGCCTTTACACCTTCCACTGATCAGTGATTGGATGAGGAAGCATGACCTTGGGTGAGGTGGCAACCTCCATCTAAGGCAGTCCCAGCGGCAGGGGTCTGGTGGGGACTAACAGTGGAGGGCTTCCTGCTGGCAGTCCGCTCAGCAGTGTAATTCCTTCCTTTTCAGTGTTCATAAGGGCCTAGCTCTGTGCTGCTCAGATCCACTTCTTTTGTGTAAGGTCTGGGGGAAACTCCTCCAGGATTCGAATTGGACTGTCCTCCTGGGTAAGCTGATTTTACTGATGTGGCAGTAAATCTTTGTAGTCTTTATCTCCCACCGCTGGGAGAGCATATGTCTTAAGTCCCCCAGTGTGCTAGCCACT